TTTCACAGCAAACCCCCAAGCATTTGCAACCTAGGGGAAATCCAGTGACCCCTAATGATCGGGGTTCCAAAAGGCACGAAGCGGCCTGCTCTTGCGCAGGCCTTGCAAATGGGCCCTTCTGGAACCTAGGGAGAGGGAGAGAGAGAGAGAGAGAGCGCGAGAGGAGTCAACACCTCAGAAAAGGGTTTCATTGGCGACAAGCAAAATCACCCATGATGAAGTTCCACGTTTTTGGCAGCATATGTTCTAGACGTTTTAGCGCCCGTTTGATGTCCTTCCATTGAAAAGCTGTCCTTCAGTGGGGAGCTCATCCGGTTTTTGTTCCGCCACGCGCGACGCTGAAGCGGTTCCGGATTGCCTCCAGATGCCAGGGGGGATTGACGGAGGGACTGTTCAGCCCACACAAAATAAGAAGTTGCGTGACAGCGGGCATGAACCCCTTTTAGGGGATTCCGTATTTTGTTCCCAAGGTGTATCATAAGGCACCCTTTGTCCAACAATGGAAGCGGACAAGGCTCCTCTTCAAGACAATTTGGTTGGATTCTTTGGACTTCAACTTTTCGGTTGAAACATGGTACTTCCCATCGGGCCCACAAAAAGTCCAAAACGCTTTTCGCGTTTTGGCCCGTCAAATTCAGCCGCCAAACGAGGCGGCGCAGAAGAAGCTGGCGGAGGAGAATCTGAGCGCTGAGTTCCAGCTGGTGCGGGGAGATGCCGACTACCCCGCCGAGTTCCAAGCGCAGTTCGACCTGGCCGGGGGCCAAAGCATGTGGACAACTTGGTCAAGAGGGCCGCGTTTTTTTGGTTTTTTTTTGGTGGGGGGGGGGAGGGGGGGGGTGAGGTGAATCCCACTTTGGTATCCCAAAGCGGCCATGTTCGCAAGCATGACCCTTGCAGTAGCACTAGGCTATGATGCTGGCTTGGAACATCCTCGAAAATGGTTGGTGGACATGCATCGTCCCGCACATGATGCCCAGCAAGAGTCGCTAATTAAAAATCATGCCCAGCAAGCAAGTGGACCAGAGGCATAATCATTATCATTCTCATGCCACTTTTTGAACGAATGCTTTTGCCTGGTGCAAGTGATCCTTGGAGGGACGTTTGCCCGCGCAAGACAACTAAATCATGTGTTAGATCCGTGTTGGCTCTCATGTCCACTTTAATCATGCACGCAAGCCAGGAGATGCCCCGGCAAAAAAGAATCATGGCCAGCACCCAGCAAGCCTGCTCAAGGTTTGTTGCGGGTGTTTCCTGTGAGTTTTGTTTAGGTTTCCACGCGTTTGCCCGCAGTTTCCATAGGTTTCCCGCGGGTTTTTTGTTGAGTCTAGTAGCGCTTCTGCTTTTTGGGGTGGGGCAGGTCTACTCCTTTGACGTTTTCGTGCACATGGATTTGCACCAGATGCGGCACACCCTGCGCCTCTGCCGAGAAAATTGGGGGCTCTTTCTGGGGGCTCGGCGGGACCGGCAGGATGCGCCAGCCTCGGAGGATTGCCTGGTGCGGCCCCACAGGAATCAGCCCCTGGAGAAAAAAATGGGCGTGAGGGCAAACCCCCTCCAAAGTGATGAAGCCGCACTAGAAGGGGGCATATCAATCAACCAGGTTTACAGGGGTTTATGTGGGTATGGGTCAAAATTAAAGTCATTGGTTCCATTTACCGATCGGGCAAGCCCGTTTTGGGGTTGCCCAATTTTTCACAACGACCGCCGTATGAATTCTGAGTTCGGGGTTGCATTGACCCTTTTGTTGCTGGTTTTCAGCAGGAAAGGAGGGAATGCCCCCCATAAACCATCCCCTATGGCTTCCTTTAAGGGAATCCCAAGGTTCATTTCCAACACCCTGGGTCATTCCCTGCTGCGCACCAGCAAGCTTTGTATGATGTGCATACCAACAAGTTTGGGTACCCCATCAAATCGTTGTGGACATCCAAATGCAAAAGAGCAGTTCCAGCAGCGAATATGTTTTTGCGGGCTGCTTTTAAAGTGAGCTACCTCTTGCCAAGAAGGATGGGAGCTGGTCCCACTGCGATGGATGGGGGGGGAAGTGTCATACAGCTCGGAAGACGGTCGGCCTGACAGCATACTCTTGGTCACTCAGTGGAGTTTGCTTCCACCTGAGGTTAGGTTAAAATGACTCTTTCTTTGCTTCGCTCTGTTTTGTAGCTGGTTTTTGCCAGTCTTCGTGTGCAAATAATTGCCCATGTCTATCAATCAACCTTGGGTGCTGCTCATTGACTGACGTGTCACATCGCGCTCAAAAGCTAAGACCCCACAGCCCAAATCATTCCAGCCGTGTGTTGGGCCAACCTGTAGGCCACATCTTTGTTCGCGATCTAACAGTTTGGCACAGGGCCGGCTGCGTGCCCTCTCACGCGCTTGAAGGCTTCCGTTTCCAGGATTGGGGATGTTGGAACCGCTGGCCCTTGTTCCATTGTTTGCGTGAACGTGTTCCAGGAATCTTCTATTTGGTTTCATGCTTAGCGAATTGAACCCCTGGCCCTGCTATCTACATTCAATTGGACACCACACCTCACCTGCAAGCCGGGCCCGTACCCGCGATTCGGTCGCTGAACTCACTTCCTCAGCTCCTGGACTTTAGTCACCCTTTGGGGTTGGACCATTTGAGTGGCTTTCACAAAGGCAGTTGGGCCACTTCTTTAAACCTTGTGAGACCATCTTAGTAGCAGATCAGCAGTTTTTGGCCGTCCACGCCCCAACCTCCGTCGCCGCCCCCACACAGACACACACCCACACCCACACCCACACCCTCGCACCAATACCTGGTCTTTCCTTACTTGTGGTGCTGTCTTCTTGCTCATTGCTATTGTTGGAAGGGAAGCCAAAAGGAAACCGTTGCCGTGTGGGGGAAAAAACATGCACACACACACACACACACACCCAACTCTTTCACGCGAACGGAAGTGGAGTGAAGGATTCGATCTCGTCACTCGGAAGGAAGACTAGGTCCCCCAGTGCCCTTTCTCACGCCTTTGTTGGTTGGGAGATTCGGTTCCCCAGGAAGTGCATCCACGGGCTGCTGCGGCCGTCTGGCCGCTGCTTCCTGTCCTTCGCCAACCTCTTGGCGCCCGAGGGCTGGCGCCGCTTCGCGCGCCAGAGCCAGCACCTCGGCCTCTGAGGATTTGGATTTGGTGTCTTTGGGGGCCACGGTGGCTCCCAGCCATGCGGGTCCATTTAGCCTTTTAGCCTTCTAGTGTTTAGTGGCAGTTTCCATTGGAGGGCCATTTTTTAAAGATTTTTGTCGTTCTTTTTTGGGGGGGATGTTAGTGTTTAGTGGCAGTTTCCATTCAACCCACTAAAAGTAAATCTTTCAGCCAGGGACCTGAGGGCAGGGCCGCAATCCATTTTGCACCAAATATGAGAGCTTGGTATGATTCGATTCCCCTACACATAACAACCCACATTTTTTCAAAGTGGGGCGAGATGGATTTCGTCCATCCACAGTAGTGGTCAGCTTCCCAATGATCCCAGTTGCCACTCTGGAAGGTACCCTTGGTGGGCAAAGTACCGAGCTGCACTCGACTTTCCAACCATTCGAGAACTATTCAACCACTTAATTCATGAAACCTGAGCCGGGGGGAGCGAGTCAGTGTCCAAGTCTTTTGCTCAGGCTTGTTCTTGATTCATTTGCGTCAGCCCAAGCTTGGACCCAGAACGTGGTCAGGGAAAATGCATCGCATCTCTTGGACATCCCGTCTGGGCCCCAAAGATACGCTGGCCTCGCGCCTTTTGTTTTACCGAAGCGGCGTAAACCGCTTCGGTTTTCTGCTGATCTTCAGGGAGCCTAGGGGCTTAAACATGCCACAAAGCAAGCCTCACTTGCGAACTGTTGGTTTTCTCTTTTGGTCCATGTTTCGTGGCCCTCACCTTTCATTCCTGGGTTCTTTGGACGACTGAGTGAACCCAAGCGGGTTGAACATGCCACAAAACCAAAGCTGCGGGGGCTCGCCCCGAGGTATAGCGTGGGAGGTTTCTACTTCGTCTCCCCAGACATTGTCCGGTGCTTGTTGCAGCGCGGCGGCTTCAAGATCCTGAAGATGCCCGGCCGATTTGTGCGAAGGTGGTTTGCCAACTGAATTCGCCTGCATCGGTAGGTTCATGAAAACGAGGTTCAGTTACCATCAAGTCAACTTTTACGGTTGTTGGTACAGGCCCGACATCAGCTTTCCACTCATTGGTTTGGTGGCTTGGACTCCCCATTTGGTTTCAATAGGAGCTGGGGTTTGGACTCCCCAAGCAACGAATCCAAAGCACCAATTTGGGGATAGCCAAAATGTGTCTACCGCCAGAGTGCAGTCAGGATGTCGCAGCCTCGGGCTGGCAATACCTACCTCAACCGCGACCTCCTGGTCCTTGCGGAGAAGCCCAGCGCCTCGTGACGCGTGAGCGAGGGGAAAAGCGCGCTCCTCACGGGGTGATTTGCAGTCAAGAGTGGGGCAGTGATGCTGAGTGAGGGGGGCTATTGCTTTTCTGCTTGCGCAAGAATATTGCGCGCTCAAAAGGTTCCAGACCTGCCTCACCGAGCGCACCCACCCGCCCACCAAATGCGAACATCTCAGACGCACCTTCATTTCGGAAATCTTGCAGTGGGTGGCCACTCATCAAATCTAATGATGGAAGTTGGGCTGTTCACGCAACTTGGCTGCTACGGGAGCAGCTCCGTTTACATAGAACAATTAAGGAAGCATAGGGATCACAGGGTTCCAGTTCCTTTCTAAGGGTGGAAGTACATACCCCTTGTTCATACCCCTTGGCTTCCGTGGTTTCCAACCCTCTCTATACTTTTTTGGGAGGGGTATGAGCATCAGCAGGTCTTTTGGGTTCATTTGTCCAAGGGGTATGTAAAAGGGGTATGTACAAGCACCCCTGGATCCTTGTTGCTAGATTCACCCAGTCATCTGCTTTGAGTGGTGTGTTTCGTGCTGAAAGGGCCACGGCTTTCCTCAAAAACCGCGGGTGTTTTTTTTTTTTGCAGCTTTCCGCAGGCGGCTGCTCAGCCACCGGAGCCAGCGAGGTCCATGGAGGATCACATTAGCGCCCGGGCCTGCAAGTAATGTATGTTGTTTTTGTTTTTAATTTTAATGTTGTTATTCTTAATTTTACTAGTTATTATGATTGTTGGATTTTTTCTTCGATGCGTTTGTGGGGTGTTAAGGCTAGAAACCTGGTCAGCTTCCTCTTGTGGTTGGTTTGGCTGTTCGGCGGTTTGGTGAAATGGGGTGGGTCCCAATTTCCCTCAATGAGGGGTGAAAAAAAACAAAAACAAGCCGCCGATCCAAACCAGGAACTTGTGAGTGAAGGACTTTGGCTAGAAGTTCAGTTTAGCGCCTATAAGCCGACGCCCTGAAAAGCTTGTCACCCTTGTGACGCACCAATGGCATGAACTTCACCCGGGCTAAATGGCGTCCTTGCGCCGTGCTTCCTGGCCCATGCGAAGCAGTGCAGTTTTGGTCAGAGGCTCACGTTCCTCAGGTGAGTTCTAGCAAAAGCTTGCGGTTTTTCCAGGTCCCCTGAACCAGGATTTGCCCTTCGGTTCGAGTCGCTCTGGGCTGGTTGTTGGGAAACATGTTTACACTGATTGTGGTGAAGTGGCTGCAACCCCCACTTAGCTGCTAACATATTCAAAGAAAAGCAATTGCTCCCCTTCCAACGTCAACCAAACTCATGTCCGGTGCCCTTAGCTTTCTGGTGTTTAGTGGCAGGTTCCATTTAACCCACTAAAAGTTAGACTTTCAGCGGGGGATCTGAGGGCAGCCCAGGTTTTTGGGATCTCATGACCCGCTGTGCCCAAAAACGCGACGAATGCCGAGAATGGCTCGCGGAAAGCCGCGCGAAGCTGCAAGAGAAGCTGAAAGCGCACACGGAGGAGGAGCTGGCAGCCGCCTGATGGCAGGGATTCAACTAAAGGGGGTGGATCAAACCTTCCATAGGATGATGATTTTGGGGAAGCCAATGCCTAGACTCTCCATAACCCTTAAGAAAAGGGGTCATTGCCCAAAATTAAGGGGTCATGCGCCCTTTTTCTAGGGGTCATGGAGACTCTAGGTAGAAACGTTTGATTTGTCATCATGGAGAAAGTTGCTCATGGTCATTTGGGGGCCAGGAATATTGATAACCCCCCACTTCACCCGGATTTTTGCCGGACTTGGCCTTGCGGTCCCAAGTGAAGATTACAAGTTCTCAAAATTTGCGGTGGGAGAGGTTTCTCTTTAAGCTAGGTTTCAGGATGTCGCTTTAATGAATTTTGTTGAGCTTTTAAAAGACGACAGCGGAAGGGTCGAACATTGAATCCCAAACGGCTTCCTTTGGTTCAGTGCATGTGGCGTTCACGCACCGTACATTACCCAAACACGGAACCTTGAAGGCTACAAATGCAGACACACGCTGCGCAAGATCTTCCGAAGCATATCTTTGCCGCTTTCCGAAGGGCAGCTGGTTAGCAAGCTGAAGGCTGAAATGTGCCGGCTATTTGTTTGTGCACTTCTTCCTTTACTTTGGGGTCCTTGACCTAGAGACCCCGCGCGCGCGCGCGTGTGTGTGTGTGTGTGTGTGTGCGCGTGGGTAGGGGGCCCCCCAAGCCTATATGCAGCATGTTTGCTTTGGTTTGAATGTCTTTATTCTTACCTCTTAAAAAACATAACTTTTCAACTTGTTGGGTAACATGGGCTATATGTCTGTAAAAGATTAACTTCCCCAGGGCTTGGAGTTTTAAGGGGTATGTATTTGTTGCAGCGCCCAGAAGCCCTTGTTTTCTTACACGCCGAGGAAGCGGTCGACAACGACTGCGACATTCCGGAGCCCGAGGGAGCCCCCGCTTTGCTGTAAAGCAGCAAATTCGCAAAGCGATTCTCAAGGAACAAGTTCATGGCAGATGTTATTTTTCAAACAACCGGGGCCTTGTTAAAATGTGAAAAAAATATCGGGGCAGCTTACTATGACGGCCTACATGGCCAGGTGATGATCATACGATAACTGTGTGTGTAGACATGTCGCCCCCTTCAACCAGGTGGAGGACCTACATGCTGGTGGCATCGGGATCGGAGAAAGGGCTTTGTTAAAGTAAAACACATTTTTTGTAGCGAAAGTCAAGGGGTTTGGGCGCTCAGATGATTTGCCCCCAACCAGCCCATCTGAACTTCCAAAGGTTTTCTGCGCGCGATACGCGATGCGTCGGGCCTTGTTGCAGCAGGGCATCGATCTCGTCTTAGCCTCGTCCCGTGTAAACGGCCATGGGCCGTGTGTACAAAGACCGGACCTGGACAGAGGAAATGGGGCTGACAGGCTCAGGTAAGCAACAAATTGCAGCTTCTTCTTTTTTTCCTCTTGGGGGGGAGGGCGGAGTTGGGGTGGTGGGTGGAGTTGAGGTTGGGTGGAGGGGGGGGGGGTTGGAGGGATCGCAAAGGGCGTGAAGGGTGGCCTCAGTGAGTGTTTTTGTTTCTCCGGCTTGTGCAGCATGAGCGACTTCCTGGACTTGGCTCAAGCCTTACCCCTGGTTTGTAAAAGATTCTATGTTTTCATGCTCGCATGGGCCCGGGCCCCAGGCAATCAATTGGTACACCTGGTAAGTACGAGCTGGGTGTTTCCTGGCTTCGGCGGCCCAGTGGAGCTTGCAGCCGGCGGTTCCACGTGTTTTCCGTGTTGGGTCGGTGCCTTTCGAAACCTGGCGCAAGCCGCCAAGTCCGTACCATGCGCCATGGGCGATTTTGCGTGGGGGGGAAAGACGCCAAGGGCCCTGAAAGGACCTTTCCAGGTCCCCAAAGGCTCCGTTCGGGTGCATTCACTTCCCGCAAGTCTAGGTTGGAAGTTTGGGGAGGTCAGCTTAAGCTCATCTCACTTCCTAGCTGTCCTAGCTTCCTGGACTTCAAACCTTTTGGTAGACCATGTTAGTGGTAGACAAAGTTGGACTTGTTCACTCAGGAAGTGTCCGATTTTCTGCGCCTTTACTTGGTTTCCCTTGGTAGCTGCCAGGCCAATTCTGGGCTTGGGGTGGAAATGCACACCGCGCCTTCAGGCGCTGTTGCTGGCCTGCTCTCCGGGGGTT